CCCCCCCCCCCCCGGGCCCTCACCTGGGCGCGCAGGTTCGCGGGGAGCAGTGGGGCCACGCCTCCCGCCGGCCGGGGCGGCCCTGCGCGGCCCGGGGTCCAGGCTTTGGCCCGGGGAGAAGCGGGAGGGGCTCACCGCGGCTTCCCCGCACGGGCCACCGGAGCTGGGGCGATTTGCGCGCGCGCGCGTGTGTGTGCGCGTGTGTGTGCGCGAGGATGAAGGAGGAGGAGACCGGGGGGCTTTGGATCCGTTCCCTCCAACTCCTCCAACTTCCTTCTTTCTTCCAACTCAGACAGTCAGAACCGTCTCACATCCCTCCAGGGATTCCACCCCGGAATCCCCGTCTCGCTCAGAGCTCTGTAATCCTGTGTGGGCTGCCTTCTTCCCTGGCATCGAATTTTGGCTTCTGCACGCCCTGCCTCGATGTCTGCTACTCCGTCTTGCTTGAAATTCTTGAACCTGTCTGGAAACCCTCGTCTGCAGTGTCTGGCCTCGCCCCGGCTTCTGTGCAACGTGTTGGGATGCTCTTTTTCCCAGGGACTCGGCGTGGCTGCTCAGGCTGGCCCCCTGCCTGTTGGGAGCTTCTAGGTCAGGTGGCAGGCTCGCTTCTCCTTTTTCTTTTCTAGTACGTCCCTTCTCCGCTCCTTTGCCCAAAAACACTTCTCTGCCTCCCGTTTCCCGACCTTTCAGAAGCGTCCTTGGACTCTGATCCATCTGTATCTGCAGCTGTCTTTGCTTTTGTCGATTTGAACATGTTGTTAGGTTGCCCATCTGCTCACATTTCTTCTATTGTGGTTATCACTGGGGAGTAAATTATTCTTGAAACCAAAACTACAGTCGGTTTTGAAGTTTAAATCAAAGATCATTGGGAACTACATTCAGTGACCTGCTTTTGCTGCTTTTTTACTTTTAAACTTTTCCTGTATGAGATCCCTTTTGAACCTGGATGCTTTAAGCCAACACCGATCACGGTGAGAAATCCCCTGTGAGATGTATTTCACCTTTAGGGTGCCGATGGCAGAGCTACCGCGTGCCTAGGAAAATAGAGGAAAACTTTAATGTTGCTTTACTTCAAGTGACAAAACCGAAAATGGTCATTTATTTACCTTCAAACCTGGCGTCCTAATAGGAATGTGTGAATGAACTGTGACACTTTATCCACACTGCAGAACTCTCCCTAGAATATTGGATTTATTTTCTTTAAACACTGAAGGCCTGTTTACTTACCCAACGGATATTTTATCCGGCACCTACTGTGTTCCAGAACTAATGGATATAGCAGTTAATACAGACACAAATCCTTAAATCCTCATGGAGCCTACATTCATAACAGAATGTCTTGTTTCATACATGTTAGGAGTTGACATTCAGATAGTAAAAAAAAAAACCCCACATAACTTCAGGGATCTCACATATGCGGCACAAAGTGATACTTTGGCAAAGTGATTTTATTTGAAAACCTGTGGTCATACATGTATGACCACAAAGTCTGAGAGTTCTCATTTAAGTTCCTTAAGAAAATGTTTTCCAAATGACTGAGAAGTGGCGTATACAAGAGACAGGGAGGATAAATTAGGGGAAAAAAAAAGAATACTTGAATGTTAATTATTTCAGACCTTTGGCTCTAATGGAGGAAATATCAGCTTAGTCTAAATATGCTTTGAAAGGACACAAAATTCATCGAAATCTTGGCTTCTTGAACTTCTCTTAGGTCAATGATCTCTTTAAGGATCTAACCAAAGCTATAGAGTCTCTCTCCACAATATATCTATGCAACATGCATATAAAAATAATACTAAAATTTCAAGTGAATCAGAATTTCTGAAGCCCTGTGTACCCTCAAAGACTTTGGGCTAAGGAAAGGATGGGCAACATCTGCTTTGATGAGGAGTCCATTTTGCAGTTCTTGAAAAATCTGTTTGATTTCAAATATTGGCAGCTTTAATACTTTACCATAAGAGTATACTCATTTATATTTATAATAAGAATATTCAATATTGAATAGGAAGTATTCACATTACACAGACCCTGGATTATTCCCGGTGTATAACAGCATACCTGTAAGGATTTACTCTCCTTGTTCTTTTTTGATGAAACCTAAAAACATGATGATATGATTCTACATGGAACTCTTGAGACCAAAGAGTTAACGTAATCTCAGGAATTGATGCTGAATAATAGTAAGGAGAGCAGAGCTTCTGGCTCTCAATGTACCCGTGTCTGCAGCTGAGAGTCAGCTACTGGACTTCATGACATTCTTTGTATTTGGAGATAAAATGAAGTTATTTAGTTAAGCGAGGGCATTTAAATAAACAGCCTTATCATTACTCCAGCTAGAGCATTAGGCCTAAAAGAAGATAAATGTTAGCATTCAGGTTTCTGTGTATTTTCTTTAATGCTAGCTTTGGAATGTAACCAAATCAGTGGAAATAGAGGCATTCCCTACATTTCTAATCAATATGAAAATATTTTGGTGGTGGGAATAGGCGGGTGGGAAGACATTTAGCCAAACAATCCTTACTCATAGATGATATCCTGGGGTGGGGGTGGGGAGATGGGTAGCTTGAATTCCCGCCAAAACTCAAAAATTGTGGTAGTATTTACAGAGTAGACCTTAGGCAGTGATACTAGGATACATTTTATTTACTAAAATTTGTGGGTTTTTTTTTTTATTCCCAGGCTCTGATGAAATTAGGAAAACTAATGAAAAACTAGAAAGGGAAGAGTTTCAAAGGAAAAAGGGCCAAAATATAAATGAGGAGTTATAAGCATATTTATGCCTTAGGTCTAGATGATTAAAGGTCTTTGCCTTAGGTGTAGGGATGACCATATGTCCATGCAGTTGCTATCATGATGAATCTAAAATCTTTTTTCATTCAGGTAACAACCAAGGAGATTTTTAATGAAGTTTTGAACGTTGAATTCCAAATATACAACATAGTATATTACGACTATGAGTCCTAGAATGTTACCGTTTGAAAGTCCAACATGGGTTCTTCAGTATGAAAGTGTAGAGTTCTACATGTCTGTGACTTAGTGTTTAACATAATAGCGTAGAACCCCTGGGACTTAAAAGTTGCAAATGGATATTAAACCTCTTTCGTTGTAAGTAATGATCAATAAGAGTATAAAGTATCTATTAGTAAGAATATGCCTAATATTCAAAGTTGGTATCAGAATGAGAATAGGCTCTGATTTATTATCATCTTCAGTGTAATAATTTTTCTTTCTTTAAATGGGGCAGGAAACCCTATCAAGTAGAGACCTAATTTAGTGGTAGGTTCTATTTCCATTTCATCCCGAATGCAATGTCTACATGGCTTATGTCCAAGTTTTTAATAGTGTGTTTGTGATATGTTATGTTCCAAACAAAGATTTCAAAGTAACAATAATAAAAGAAATATGTAAGACACATCTAAGAAATTATTTGAAAATCTAAAGACACCAAGTAAGGAAAAAGTCAAGGGGATCTTATAAATCAAAGAACTAATGTAATATGCCACATACTTGAAATCTGTTTCAGTTGCCATTCTGAGCTACATTAAAATGATTGAAAATATGGAGCTCTTGACATTGCTATTCTATTTTTTTTAAGGGAAATGAAGTGCATTGCAGATATGCGATACACAGATTGGCTATTCATTCTGGAAACTTCTAATTTATGGGTAAGACCCGAGAAGAATCTAATGGACCAAGTACCTTACGTTAGGGATTACTTGGAACAGTCTCCTCAGGAAGAGGTGATTGAAGAAAAGCGGGTTTTCATGAGCTGCCTTTTGTGGGAAATGAAGTGACATCCCTTCATTTGCCTACACAGTATTTTCACTCTGAGCATTCTATGTGCTAGGGAAACTGTAGAGCAGGGATAATTTATTTAGCATGAGTAGGCTAAGACTGGCTATGCTTTCAACGTCACAACCAAGTTTTAGAACTTGTTACAGGAGTGTTTGAAGAGCAAGTACAACTGAGGTCACATTTTTATGGAGTAATAAATAACTTCACCCTGAGGTATTAATTGGCCAGCTCTTGCACATGAAGGTCTCTTAAGGTATCTTTAAGCAATCTGTCTCAATCAGAATGGGAAATGTGCTCAGGCCTCTTCTTCAGATCACAGAATGGGCATGGGTGTTCAACAGTGCGTTTCAGTTTAATCACTCTGCCTAGATTCTGGAACACGTTACTATATAAAACCTGAAAGCCTGAAGTGTGAATACAAACGTGATAACTGACAAACTAACTTTTTGTTAACCTGGCGTGGTAAAGTTAGAATAGAACATTAGAATAGTAACCACATGATCTTGACTTTGGCCCTAGCGCATGATCTGGGGGCCTCAGGAGTTTCATTGCAGGAGGGGTCCGAACGAGGTTTATTCGTTCAAAAGGCCCTTTGCTAGGTGTTCCTGTCTGCCTTGACAAACCACTGGACTCGCCAGTGGCCAAACAGCTAGCTGGGGCTAAAGGCCATTATTTTGATCATTTTTTCTCTTAAAGAATTCCCTTCACAACAGTACGTTCTGTGTAGATCTAGAGTCACTTACGGATAAAACCACAATGCCTCTAGAAGTTTATTTTGCCTGGCTCTGTCTCTTTTCCCTTCCCTAAAGAAGACAGCTGAAGCTGGAGAAGTAGCTTCCATCACTTAGCATTTCAGGGCAGCAGTCTCTGAAGATTCAAACCGGCCCATTTTACGTTTTAATCAGCAATGGGAATAGACAGCGTTGGGCTGGAATCCGGTTTCCTACAACCTCCCAGGACTCTTAGTTGAGACCTAGCGATCCTAATTATTGTTGACCATAAATAAGATGGCAACTGGGGGGGGGAAAAAAAAGAAAAAAAAGAAAAGAAAGCAAAACTCCACTAGAATGCCGGTTTGGAGGACCCTGAAAGGTCATGTCAACTGACAAAACAGGAGCGGATACTTGAGGGACGTGAACACGTTGAAGGGATGATGTGCTTTGCTGGATTGTCAAGAGTCTCTGCAGAGTCTGGCGGGGACTTTTTGCCCTACTTAAAAAATACAGCTAAGTTTAGAGTCGTCTGCGGATGACAAGAGGGATCTGTCATCTCGCATCTTCTCCCCCAGGGCCTCCCACACCCACGCGAAGGGTTCTCGGGCGCCGAGCGCGCACCCCCTGCCGCGAGGCTGCAGGTCCCCGGCGCCCGCTCCTGCGGCCCGCGGGGGACGGACGAGCCGCGAGCGGCGGCTGCAGCCTGTTGATCCCATTTCCTCCCGCCCGGCTCCGGCTTAGGGAGTGGCTCTCCCAGGACCTCCCGTGTTTTCGTGCTCGGGCCCTGGTGCTCACACGGCTTCGGTGCACTGTCTGCCTCCAGGCAGCCTGGCTCGGCGCTTCGGTGCTGAAGACCTTTACTCGGCATCCTGCGGGCTCGGGCTGCGCTGCGCGCTCTTGCTTCTGCGCTCCCTCCACACCCTGCCCAGCTTCCCGCGAGCCGGGGGGATCGCTCTTTCTGAACGAAAAGTTCTCGGAGCCGAGTGGAGCCTCCCGGAAAATGCTCTGCTCTTCCGTGTGCGCCGGATGGAGGTGGGGGTGGGCCGGCAGCTAAGCCCCGCGGTCGGGAGGGCGCCGAGGGCCCGAGCCCGGAGCCCCGAGGCGGGGGCGCGAGAGGTACGGTCCGCCCGGGCTGCGCGGCGGGGTCGCGGGACGGGCGGGGCGGGGGGCCGGGGTCGTCTGGGGCGCGAGGGGCTCGTCCTGTGCGGCCAGGCCCGAGGCTCCGGAGGAATCGTAGGTGTCGGGGGCGGGGGGGGGGGGGAGGCAGGCTGCACCACGGAGGTCGGCGGGAAGCTCGGGGTCCCCGTTCGACTCCGGGGGCCGCTGTCGCTGCAGCTGCGCGGGAGCCGCCCGGCCTGCGGGGCTTGGCTGCGGGGCTTGGCTGCGGAGGCTCGTGGCCTCCCCGCATCCTGCCCCCGCCCCCGCCCCGGGCCCGCCCGTCCGGCCTCAGGACCCTGCCCCTCCGCCGCTCGCACCCCCCGCCCGCGCAGGCCGTGTTCTGGGTCCGGAGCCCGCAGACGGCCCGGCCCGAGGCTGCGCGCGCAGGGGGCCCGAGCGCCCGCTGCGCCCCCCTGCGCCCGCCGCCGGGGCCCGAGCCGCGCCGAGGGGCTGCGCGGCCGCAGCCGGAGCGCGTCTGGCGCCCCCGCGACCCCCTCCCCGGCGGGGGCGGCCGGCGGAGCGGAACATGGCGGCGGCGTCCGGGCGCGGGGCTCCGGGCCCGGCTCCGACCGAGCGCGCCCCCTGACCGCCGCCGCCGCCGCCCCCCCGGGCGGTGCTGTGTCCCCGCAGGAGCCGGAGCGGATGGCCGGGGCCGGCGGCCAGCACCACCCTCCGGGCGCCGCGGGAGGAGCGGGCGCCGCGGTCACCCCCGCCGCTGCGTCGGCGGGGCCCGCAGACGATTCGTCCGACAGCGAAGCGGAGCAGGAGGGACCCCAGAAGCTGATCCGCAAAGTGTCCACCTCCGGGCAGATCCGGACCAAGGTGAGGCGGGCGGACCCGGGAGCGCGCGGGGCGGGGGCGAGGGGCCGGGGCGCGCGGGGAGCGCCGGCGATCCCGGGAGCTCGGGGCGCGGGGCGCGGGGCGCGGGGCGGGGGCGGGGCCTGGCTGGGGGCGGGGCCTGGCCTGTGGGCGGGGCCTGGCCTGTGGGCGGGGCCGCCGTGCGGCTGCAAGGGCTCCCCGGGCCCCGCGCGGGAGGCCGCCGGGGTGGGCTGCGGGGCGGTGGGGAGGCTCGGCGGGAGCGTGGGAAAATGCCGGAGCGCTCTTGAGAGGCCCCACTCCGGGAACTCAGAAGCTCTGTGTTACGTCCTCGGCCTCCCTGCGTGCCCCGGTTGGGCGGAGGACGCGCCTTGCGCGGAGAGCCCAGTGCAGGCCGCCCCGCCGCCGCAGGGGCGAGAAGCCCTGCACCTTCCTGCCCTTGCGCGGGCCGCACCTGCCTCCTCCCCAGGTCCGCTCTGAGAGGGTGGGTGGTGGGTGCGGGTGGGGGAAGCGACCGCGGGCAGCCCCGTAGCCCCCCGCTGCCGTTTGGCCAGGCCAGGCGCTGTGCCTGGGTCAGTGATGCTCCCAGTGACGCTCCCCCCGCCCTCCGCGCGACCCATCAGCAAGCCAGGCTTCTGAGTCGTGGGTTCCCGCCCAGTGCAGGGTTCAGATCTTACCAGCCAAGGTTGTCCTAGTCAAGATGAACTTCTCGGGGCTACGTGGCCACGAGCGTGCTGTGTTACCCTTGTTTATGGAGCAGGTGCTTTTGACCCCCGAGGGCTCAAAGTTGAGCGTTTTTAATTAGACCTTGAGCTTATACATAGCAAGCAGATGCTTCACCACTGGAGGATTCCTCATATTTCAAGATTTTCATCGTACTTTAAGAATCATCCTACTTTAGAAGTCGGTTATCCCTGGGGGCCTTTCCTGAGGTATTTGAAGAGAACCAGGGAAGTCACTGGATTTGTGCGCTCTCTTTAAAAATAAATTTGCAAAAGTTAATTCTGTGGTTGTTTTTAATGAGAATTTGTTTTTTTTTTTTTTTTAAGGTCGGTGGACTCCTAGAGGAGAGTAGAGCTTTTATTTTATGTTTATGAAATCATGCTTTTATTGGCCTGCCTCCTTATTTTCTAAAGTAAATACATGAAAGCACACACAGTGTTAGAAAGATGCACTTAGAGTCATCTAAGAGTCAAAGATTGTTTCGGTTATTTTTTTTTTTAACTGCGCATCTCGTGACTCATTTTAATAGTGATATTTCTTCATCTAATAGAATCTGTGATAACTTAAGGATATGAGGTTTAATGTATTAAGGCTAAATAAGATAGGGGCTTTCTGTGCCTTTAACATTTGATATCTTAATTTTTAAAAAGTTCACAAGGGATCCCTGGGTGGCGCAGCGGTTTGGCCCTGCCTTTGGCCCAGGGCGCGATCCTGGAGACCCGGGATCGAATCCCACGTCGGGCTCCCGGTGCATGGAGCCTGCTTCTCCCTCTGCCTGTGTCTCTGCCTCTCTCTCTCTCTCTCTCTCTCTATCATAAATAAATAAAAATTTAAAAAATAAAAAGTTCACAAAACTGTGTTACTAATGGCAAGTTTAAAAGATGGCATATTTTATAGATACGTATGAAATGGCTAAAATTCCATGCAAACTTACATCAAAATTAACTAGTAAACTTATACTGCTTGAGAGAAAATTTAGAGATGACTTTAATTTGAGTTTAAGTTAAACAATAAATCTGGTCCGGGGGGAGGTACGATTAAAATTTGTAGGTCTCCTGAATTCATGGTGATAGCTAAGCTTAAATTCTTTAAATTTTATTTTATCTATGGTTTGGGGTAAAGCATGTTTTTGCGACTAAGAATAAATTTAAAAAGCACATTTATTATTGGTTTTCCATTTAACTTTGTAATAAAAATATTTAGTGCATTTTCCCCCATGAATAGAATTAGTGATCATTAAATGAAATATTTTTTAAATTTCCCAAGATGTATTGAACTTCAGAAATTCTGCATTTTATGCCAGCTCATACAAATGTGTATAAGTTCATCAGTATTTTCATGTAGAACACCTGAGATCCAGGCCTAGAACTCCTGAGACCAGTGGGCCTCAACCTCTCTGCCTGCCCCTCCCCACCTCAATCCAGACTGTTCATACATGCTGCAAATTTTAGCAGTTACATCTCTTTATCACGCATACTGATTCTCAGGGAAGAGAGCTAGTGCAGTAATGAGATTCATAAAATAAGAACTGCTAAATTTAATACTGGTTCCCAGCCTTCAATTACGATCCAGGTATGAGTTGAGCGAAAAGATCTTTTAGAAAAAGACTGTACTTGCTTGATCATCTCTACAGATATGCAAGATGGTAGAGGCCAGGACTAGCCCAAGGCCTAGTGGTTTTTTAGACAGAAAGCAGTTCTGGGCCACCCGGGTGGCTGGTCTTTTAAGCCTCAGGCTCTTGGTTTCAGCTCAGGTTGTGATCTCAGGGTTGTGAGATTAAGCCCTGCATTGTCCAGCACCTAGTCTGCTTGTCCCTCTCCCTCTGCTCTTCCCCTTCCCCTCACCTCAGATGAATGAATGAATGAATGAATGAATGAGTAAGTAAATAAAATCTTAAAAAAGAAAGAAAGCAGTTCTTGCTTGTACATACTGTAGCTATACCAAGGGACCATTAGATCTGACAGGGTTATGGTTGCTAGTGCCATCTTTGGTCTTGGTTGACTAGCAGCCTGGGATGTTATGTGTGCTATATGTATACGTACGCACACACATATACACATGTATTCACAGGTATGCATTTGTATACTGTGTCATGTCTTTAGAAAGCATTTATATGTAGATATACAGAAGGCCTACTGCGGAGTGAGTTGTGCATAGAAATAAAATATATGGGACACATGGGAGGCTCAGTTGGTTAACAGTAGACTCTTAGTTTTGGCTCAGGTCATAACCATGTCAGGCTCTGCACACAGCATGGAGTCTGCTTGAGATCCTCTCTCTCTCCCTCTCCTGCTACTCCTCCCCCTGGCCCCCCTCCCCCTGCTTCCACACTCTCTCTCAAATTAGATAAATGAATCTTAAGAAATCAAAAATATTTCTTAAATGAATACCTTTTATTCATTATACATTATATACTTATATAGAATGTTTCATGTATATGGATATTATTATTAAAGCATAATACTTATTTTAGTTTCCTTGAAGAGCCTTATGATCATAAAGTTGTTTGGTTAGTTTAGGTTTGGGTTAAAAAAAGGCCACTCAAGTAATTACCTTATTAAAAATGTTCTTTTTTGTAAATACTGGTTAATGTTTTAAATAATTGAATAATCTTAAATTAATTGTGGCATTTGGAAAATATCCAGGTTTTTCTTAATTGAAATAAGTAATGCATGCATATAATATGATATTCAATAGTGTGAGAGGATATTCTGTGACAGGAGAGTATTCTGTGACCAGTGGCAAGTAATCTCCCTCTCACTCCAGACCTTCTAGTCTCCATCCCAGAGGCAATTGTTGACATTTTTCTTGGTACACTTCCAGAAAATGTCTATGAAATTACATATGTTTCTTTAAAAAAGTACAAATGAGAACATTCTGTACACATGCTGTGTCTTGTTTGGAGCTCTAAAATGATCATTTCCCTAATGGCGTGTGCACGTCTACCCCCTTCTTTTTAATGGTGGGAAAGTATTCTGTTATGTTAGGTTGAACTAAATGAATTTGCTAGATCAGTAGGTCAAAAATGGCCAAGAGTAGAATGGTGGTGGCCAGGGGCTGGGAGGTGGGGGGAAATGGGGAGGTGTTGGTGAAAGGGTACAAACTTACAGTTACAGGATGAGTAAGCTCTGGGGATCTAAGGTGCAGCATAGTGACTATAGTTAATACTGTATTGTATCCTTGAAATTTGCTGAGAATAGATCTTAAGAATGCTTAAGATTGCATTCTTAAGATCTATTCTCTTTATTTATTTGAGAGAGAGAGAGAGAGAGAGAGAGAGAGAGAGCCAGGGAAGGGGCCAAGGGAGAGAGAGAGAGAGAGAGAATCTCAAGCAGACTCCCCTCTGAGCACAGAGTCCAACAGGAGGCTGGATCCTACAACCCTGAGATCGTGACCTGAGCTGAAATCAACAGTCAGACACTCAACTGACTGAGCCAACTAGGTGCCCTAGATTTTAAGCATTCTTAATACACACATTTAACTATGTGAGGTGCTGGATATGTTAATTACCTAATTGTTTCACAATATGTATGTCTATCAAATTATCGCATTATATACTTTAAGTATATATAATTTAGTTTGTCAATTATGTCTCAATAAAGCTGGAAAAAAATGGTCAAATTTGGGAAATTTCATATGGTTCAACCTAACATGATGTATCATCATTTAAATACCCAGCTCTCAATGGAAAGGGAAAATGGATTATTTTAGGACAACACTAATCTCAGTTTTTTGCAGTGGATATGATGACTTTTAAAGTCATATATTTTTTTAAGATTTTATTCATTTATTTGACAGAGAGAGAGAGAGAGAGAGAGAGAGAGAGAGAGAGAGAGAGAGAAGCAGGCTCCCCGCTAAGCAGGGACCCTGATGTGGGGTCGATCCCGGGACCCTGGGATCATGACCTGAGCTGAAGGTGGACGCTTAACTGACTAACCCACCCAGGTGCCCCTAAAGTCATCTTTTAAAACAGACTTTTAAAAAATAAGACTGGCAGGTTTTTAAAATTAGTGTGACTTAATAATAAAATTCTCATGTACATTTTAGCACCCTCCTCCTATCCTCATTTTGTATACTCTTTGTTCTCTTTTGCATTTTTTCCCCTTTTTCTTTGTCCTTTCAGTGTATTATTTTTCTCTGTTTTTCACTTTTTTTCCTTTCTCTAGATCAGCTAAGTAGAATTGCAGGTAGTCTCATCTAGCTATCCACAGTAGATAATTTTGCATCTGCCTCTGTTTCCCCAAGGGAAAAAAAAAATCTCTTACTTACAAAAGTGGAAATGT